TTGTCTTCTGGACAAGCCCCCAATCCGAGACTTTGTTCAGCAAAGACTCGACGTAAGAAGAAGTCTTAAAGTTTAAAAGTATAGCCAAGGCCTTTGATTGGATTTGGCACAAAGCGCTTCTTTCGAAACTTTTCTGTCCTATAGGCTTCCCGAGAAATTGAGCAATTGGAGACAATATTGTACACTTGGATCAGCAGCTTTCTCGCAGATCGGAGCATCAAGATCGTAGTAGACGGTGCATGCTTCGATTACTGCTGGTATTTCACAAGACTGCGTGCGTACCAACGCTGTTTCTTCTGCATATTAAAGATATGTTGCAAATCGGTAACATGCATTGATTGCTATGCGGATGACGGCATTAGTGATGCCCTATACACAGGTCATGCCATTATATTTCAGGAAAACATCGCCGAGTACCGAAACAAACTTGTGTCTGAAGTCTAGTCTTTGCTGAACAAGTCTTGGATTGGACTAAATATTGTCCAAAAGACACAAGTTTGTGCATTTACCGTTAAAAAGAACCCCTTTGTCGTATTTCCTTAGTTTTCAAGGCATTCCCCCTTGCTGTCTCAGCCATTATCTTAAACCTATTAAGTTCGCGGCGCCCTTACAAGTTTGTATTTTGTTTCGGCGCCCTAGTTTATCGAAATAGGGTAGAAAGATACTAGAAAGATGTACAAAAATTAAAACATTCACAATATAAAGTGAAGTTTTCATATTCTAAGAAAACTAGGAAGCAAAATACAATGGCAACTTAGTCAATATGACGTGAAAGATTTGTAATGTCCGCACATTTTATTAAAAGCTGAAAATCCGGCTTCAATCAATGTTTCAATGGGAATAAGAATTCTTAGGGCTTTTCGACTTAAATTATATATTAATCTTGGACTCGTTTCCCAGCGTAAATACCTATCGGCAAGTGAGCGACGGATGTAGCGCGAATTGATTTGTTTATTTTGTAACCGCGAGTACCTAAGTTTAGTTTTCGGATAATGATAAAAAGAAGTTAGGCGCCTCACGGCACCCCTCTACCTTCTACAGCGCACCAAGACGCCATTGGGCACACTGGGAGCCCCTGGCGTAACGCGGTAACGTCATACGGTATAGGCTCAAATTTTGATACTGGAGTTATAATTTAAATTCGAAGTTGTTTCTAAACACCGCTCTTAATTCAATGTATCACCCACGACCTCACGCCCACAACGTTGCATGTAGCAGCGTCGAGTTGGTTATCACTCTTGCCTAATAAGTAGTACATAGCGATATATTCTGTAGCAGAGATCAAATCAAAGGGTTTTTAAATTACCATTATTCGCCATTCCTACAGGGTTCGTATTTTGCTTCTATGGTGTTGACTTTCGAGGAATTTTAACCAACCAATATTTTTTTCTTCGTAACTCTCGTCATGGGAGGTATATGGATGCAGGCGGCTCAGGAACGTGCTTTGTGGCATTCCTTGGAGGAGGCCTATTTCAGCAGTGGACTTGTGAAGGGCTGTAATGTTTAATGATGATGATGATGATGAATATTTTTTGGTTTCAATATCCTTACATAGGGTCCGTTGTGCAATCTACTAGTGCCTTAAATACCAAAAAGTTGTCACCAACTCTCGCACATCGTAAGTATAAAGATTTAGTGACTTCTAAAGATAAGAGAAAAAGCGCTTAGGGAGACAGATCTGTACAAAGAAAAACACAAGTTATTTTTTATTACTTTATTTAGCATATTCAAAATATATTTTCCAGAATACTATCGAGATTGCCGAAAGAATTACGTCAGTTATCACTCTTGTTTTCAAGCAAAGCTTCTCTCATAATGAATTACTAAAATATTTAACAATTCACCATATTTATTGCTATTTAGAAGCTTCAAAATTATTATAGAGCTATTCTTACATTCTGGTTACAACTAAATAACATATAAAAACAAAAAAAAATTACATTTGATTTTTTTTCGAAAATACAATTCAGTTTAACTGTTGATGGTGATGTCAAATGGAAGAAAATAATTATAATACCATATTCCTGACCAAGAGATCAAATCAATTTATAATATAGGATACATTTATATATGTATATATTAAAATTTGTTCATGGCGCCGCCTTAGCTGCTTTTAAATACCACATTCGTACAAGTTAAATAATTAAACAATTCACTCGTATTAAAAAATTATGTAAGTACTATATGACTGTTTTATAGAATAATTAAAAAAATGGCATGGCTTGGGACGGTAACACAAAATATTTTTATAATTAGGCTAGACTAAGAATTAAATAAATAATGGATTAACACCTTAAATTTGATAGCGAATTTGGTAACGAATTTGGCTGTAAAATTTGAAGCGGGAAAAAGGAATTTGAATATAAATGTGAAGTCAGGCTTTGAAGAAAAAATTATATTAATTTCTATATAATTATGACCTGAATTTAGAAAAAGACCTGAAATAGTTATGTAATAATTTAATTTTTATAGCATTATTTTATGTGGGTCGAAATTAAAATTTCAGTTAAATTTTATAAAGTTCGTTATAAGTTATGACTTATGACCCAGAAATGTATGGGCAGTTTTATTTTGTACTTCTTAATTATTTCTTTTGTACTTGTATTATAAGTACACGAGAAATAGAAATAGAGAGAAATTAAAAGTTTGAATTTTGCATTGACACTATATTTATTGCACGTGAATTTTGGAAGTAAGTAAGTATATCATCAAACATTCAGATAAATTTTCTTTACGCAGAATATTCTTTATTTTGGTGTAATGTTGTAAACAAATAAATACATCAAATGAAGCTTTGGAGGGCACGCACGTGGCGAGACCGTCTCGACTAGCATCGTTGTCAACTCACGCAATGTTCAAATAAACAACCTACATATGAAATAATTTAGTAAAGCTTTATATTATATAGGTCTATATAAAATTGTTACTAAAGCGACATAAGGCGATTCTGTAACGCGTAAAGGATTTGCATATTTTGTGTTGACTATTCGGCACTACTCATTATGGCAGTTTTTTGTCAGCGTGTAAGTTATTATTGAGTAGAATAGCTCAGTAGACACAAATACAATGCCCGTTTACACAAGATTGTGATAATACTAGTACTTATTTTTCTTTTTCGGCACTTATTAAAATTGTGATTGTGTTTATTGCAAGTCGATATCACTCTGAGTAAAGTTAAATTTATGAGATTCTACAGATATGTTTCGACAGTGGAAGCGCGTTTAAACAGCTGTTTACTGAAACGCAATTATTCGTTTGATCGATATTAATTGTGTATTATATGGGTGTGGATAATAGTCAATAGCAGTGGTCTATGTGATGATAAAATTCGAAGTCTTCGGGAGTACTTTTTTGTCAAAAAAAATTATTTTAACTACCTCCCTTAAAAGGTTAATTAAAATAATTAAGCCACACTGTCAATATCTTCATTTAGTCTCGCAGTTAAAAATAATGAAATCGCACAAAACCGTATTAAGAACGTATTAAGGCGTAAAAACGTCGAGGAATGTTAAGTGTTAGTTTAAATCATTATTTACGTCAATGACTATATTACTAATTAAAATCCACATTACGGCAATTTATTTAAATAATTTCACTGACAATCAATTGGTTATATTTTCAATATTGTTAAAATTTGTACCAATTTCACTTATCTTCATAATTTCATAGTTTGCATCACACTTCAGCATCTACGACTAGATCGTTCACATTTCACATAGCACCGTCAGTTTGTTATTAAAATATCAGGTACTCGATTAATTCAGTAAATGTACATTTGGCGTCAACAATCAAGACAATACGATATCTACCATTTATTACTAAGCATCTAGTTTTAACAAAGGAACTAAGATGGAATTTACAAGGTGAATTTAGCCGTGTTGCAACGCTTTACTTTTCTTTACAATTATTACTTCCTTGATGATAATCAATTTTTATATTATATAAGGTCGTAAACCTTTACTAGTGCTAAGGATGTCAACAAGCACCATAATATTGTCGAAATGGAGTTTTAAAGACTGAAGGCAGGGAAAAATTACGATACAAAAGTTGAAGGAATGGAGATTGTTACTGACTTGAGTTTTTTTTTTAATTATTTTATTATTTTAAACTCATTAGAACTCTGCTCAAAATCTTTGTAGGTGGTCTCGATATTTGAATAATTTAAGGAATTAATATTATTTAAGCATGTCACCTTTTTTGTTCTAAAAAAGGAATACGCGTATACCTTGAAATTTCATATATTTTTTAAGCCGGTAGTGTAAATTTGTATTTAGATCATATAATTTGAACTCGGATTAAGTAAGTTCTATTTGTACGACACCCATGTAATTTATATTAATTGTTGTTGTTGTAATTTATATTTATAATATTATAATTCGAACTTGGATTGAGTAATTTCTGTCTTTCCACAGCTAGTGTAATTTCTATTTGGATTATAAAATTTGTATTTGGAATATTATGTAATTTGAACTTGGATTGAGAAAGTTCTATTTTTAACGTGACTGGTGTAATATGTATTAGGAATATGTAATATGTATTGAAGTTGCCATATAATGGATCGATTTACAGTAGACTTCCGGTAATCCGATGGCTGGCTAATCCGCATCCCCCTTTAATCCGACTTGCCTTAAATAAATCCGCCATGGGGGGCGGGGGGAGGGGAGGTGTTCTTCGCGAATACGTGGACAAACAGGTTGCATTTATTTCAGGCCATTATCTCAGTTTAAGTGTGACTATGGGATTGCAACCTGGCAGACATTCATCATTTACTTCATTCTGCATTACATTGCTTTTTTGTACTCATTTTCAAAAAGTTCCGGACTACCAGGGGGCTGTGGCAGTACTCTATAGTCCGATGACCGTCTTGCAAAACGTTTGTCGGATTATCGCGGGTCTACTGTATTATAATATTTGTGATAATTTTAATAAATTAAGCGTGGTATATTGATGTGATGATTAAGTACGTCAACTTGAAATTTTTAATACAAAATGGCGAGGCGCTAGGAGTGTGCGTATTTTAGGGCTTCTCCTAATGGTTTTTCTTCACGTAAGGATTCTTTCACTGGGGAGTGGAGCGAATGCCTTTCTTCCGCGGGAGTCACCGGTTGCTTCGTTATTTCTGGTGGTGGCCTGTGGGGATAAATTTATTGTAAATTTAGTTGTCCTATTGCATTTATAATTGGGGTACGAGTAATAAATAATGTGGAGCAATTTATTTAAATTATACTCAACTTGTATGAGGCGCTGATGAGACACCGATAACTAACTATAGAGCTAACAAAACAAATAATGTGGTGGTAATAAGGCAATCCATCATCCCATTTTATTGTTGATGTGGTCTTGGTGTGACCTACGGAATAGCCTAGAAGATACAGTATTAGATGTAAAATACTTAGATTAGCGGAGGAATCAGAGTCAATATGCGAGGTGTCTAGAATTCGCCTGGTATACGGTTCCTGAGCCTCCGATAGTGGATCACGATCACTCGGCGGCAGGTGCTGTACAGTAGCAGCAGCAATTGCAGCAGCACGGCGGCGCAGCGTCTGCACCTGCAGCAGTGCAGCAGGTGAAGGTGCAGTGCTCACCGGTGGCGGTGCATGCTGACGGGCGCGAGCGCAGCCAGCAGGTGCAGCAGTGCAGTAGGTGCTGCAGTGCAGCATGTGCAGGTGCAGTGCTCACCGGTGGCGGCACGTGCTGGCGGGCGCGAGTGTGACCAGCAGGTGCAAGTGCAGAGATGCATCAGTGCAGTAGTGCAGCAGTGCAGTAGGTGCCGGGCGGTCCGAGCAGTGCAGCAGATGCAGGTGCAGTGTTCAACGGTGGCGGCGCGTGCAGACGGGCGCGAGCACGATCAGCAGGTGCAGCAGTGTAGTAGTTGGAGCAGTGCAGCAGGTGCAGGTGCAGTGCTCACCGGTGGCGACGCGTGTTGACGGGCGCGAGCGCGGCTAGCAGGCGCAGCAGCGCGTGGCGCGGCCCCGCTTGCAGCTGCTGCAGCCGCTCGGCGGGCAGGTCCACGCAGTACGGGTTACGCGCGTCCCCAAGAAACGGCGCCACGTGGTTCTCCATCCGCAGTACCAGCAGAAGCACGTCCTCCAGGTCCGCCTCGCTGAAACGCCGTTACCATTACAGCCCATAAAAATCCATCGCCGCTTTACGTACGTTCCGAGGCACGGGGGTAAAACAACCGCCAACGCTTTCAGACTGCTACTGAGAGTTTCTTGACAGGAAAACTCAGTAACTGATTTAGGCCTGAGCCGGAGTTCAAATCCACGATTAGCCATCACATTTGTAATTAAGGCGTTGACATTGTTTTTTTTTATAGGATGAAGGTGACAAACGAGCACATAGTCCACGTAATGGTAAGTGGATGCTGTGGCCCATAGACATCTACATTTAACCTTTATTAAGAATGAAAATGCAAATGCGTTGTCACCCCTGAGGACTAAGACGGAATGCTTCGATTCCAGTAAAACGGGTCTCCGGTTCACTACACTCACTACACGAAACACAACAGCATTAAGCTGCTATTCTGTGAGAGCGTGGTCCTTCCCCGGTGGAGCCGACCCATTCATGCTCCATCCATTATACGTAGGACACTCAATAAGTTTTAGGACATACAAAAAGTATTCTAGCTACTATTAATATTTATTTTACATCTTTTTAAAATGTCATCATGCTCTATACAAAGTTCCATTCGCCTAAACCAACTCTGAAAATACTGTTGTCACACACAGGTCGGAAATCACTTCTTCATAGGCAGCCAGTGGCGAAGCTAGGGCTCCAAACTAGGGCAAGCCCAAGATATGGTTTTGTTGTTTTTTAGCAGTTTTATAAAAATACACCAAGCTTGATCTGTCTCCACTCTTCAGTTTCATATTCAGTGCTGCCAAGGACGTGTTTAACAAAGCACACAGAAAGCATACTACCGCTAGATAGATTGTATGATATATGTAGTTGCATACCTTCGGTGGCTTTGAAAATAGCCGTTTGGGTTTGTTTGAGCGAAAGAAAAAGATATTTACAAACAATACAATACATGAACAAAAGAAAAGCATGAACAAAGTACAAAGAAACCATGTACAAAATTAAAAAAGGGACGCCTGGCAGATGTGAAACATCGAAATTATTTTGTTTAAGTTACGACGACGAAGTTACGATAGGAATTAGATATGGTATAATGAGAATATAAAGTTTTGCAAATTTTTACCATAAAATAATGACTATTTATTTATATAATTCTTCATTTTCAATTTTAAGAAACCGTATAAAATGACATTTTCAACTCTTAAGGTAATATAATTATTAAATTAGCCGATATAGCGTGTTTGTGCCATCTAGCGTAATCTTTACGTACCACCGCGAGAATCAATCAATTTTCGTTCGATAAAATGACTTTATCTATAGAATTAATTAGATGGCGCTATTAAAATTTATAGACCGAAGACTAAAGAAAATATTCTTTAAAAACCTCAATACATGATGTATTGATTTAATTTATTACATTAAAATTTGGGCTTCACATTAAAAAAAGATTCTAACAATTATTTGCTATAAAATTAAACCTATGCTGCAGTTAAAAATGATATTTTTAACTCATATGGTAATATAAGTATTGAGTTTAAATACGCCTAGATTAATTAAACTTTAATACTATTATAAAGAGTCCTGTACCTATTAAAGTATGAAGAAATGTTTATTGAATTAAAATTTCATTTTTAAAGATTTTACCTTTTCCCCGCCGATTAGCACTTTAACACACTTATATTCGTCACAAGGAATACTCTTTCCATCCATTTTCACTAAAATCTTTAAAAAAGTATAAATTTTCAACTCGCAATGGAAACATTGAAATGTGACGTGAACTTGCAAACATATCGTCGGTGTCGCCCGCCCTCCGCGTCTCGACTAACATCATACCTAACGTGACCATACGTCCCACTTTAGGCGGGACGTTTCAGATTTATAGGTTTGTGTCGCGCTGTCCCCAAAATACGTAAAAATGCCCCGCTTTGACAAACAAAAACGTGACAATCATGCAAACCCTGTCACCAGTACCATCATTATGACACCGCGCGTACCAGGTTTGCCAGCATGTCTTGACTAGTTACGTGATTATTCTAAAAAGCTACACTTTTGAATTTAAAGTTACGAAGTGACAATTTTTAATTAATCTATAATAAATTATCAAATAACAAGTTATTTCCAATTAGTATTCATTTGATGTTCAGAATTAACTTCTGCTCATTAAAAGATACAAACAACTATGTGTTTTATTTATAAAACTATATTAAAGGGCTCCAGATTGAATTTTGGTAACGGCGGCCATTCTCAGCCATCTGCGCATCTGGATTATATTGCCCAAGTGTAATACTATTGCTACTGAGAATTTTGTGACAGAAAACCCCAATAAATGATTCTTGACCCGACTCGGGTTTCGAACTTGGGGCCACATGATCAGCAATTGCGTTTACGACCATTAGACCAAGAAGGCAGTCAAAAGTGTTAAAACTATAATAATTTTAAAGGCGTCCCGCTCTGAGGAAAAAATAAATGGTCACTAAAAAGCCGGGCTTTTTATCTCCCGACTAATTGCTACTTATACAAATATAGTTATATTTCATTATAGAACATTTTGCCACAGGTTAGAAAGGGAACGATCGTATTCTAAAAAGCCCGGTAAAAAGCCCACGCGTACGAGAGAGACAACCAATCGCTCAATTCAACTCTCCTTATATGTATGACAGCGTTATCCTTAAGGCTACGAGGTCATGATCTGTATCGAACAGAGCGCGAAATTTGAAATAGTTTGAAACAGTTTAAGGGTTATTTTATTACTTGATATTATTGTTTTATTATTTAGCTTGATAAGGCAAGCCGGGCTTCTCGGCTTCTATGGAGGCCTCGCCACTGCCTTTGCAGTGTCTTCGCACTTGCCTAAGGCAGCCACGGCTTCTTCAGCGCTCGAAAAAACTTGCCTTTTATTTTTTCTTTTACTTGTGGGAACAAAAAGAAATCGCAATTAGCTAAGTCAGGGCTGTAGGATGGGTGACTTAAGAGTTTCAATACCAGATTCCGCAGTAAATGCTTTTGTTCTAAGGGAGGTATGTGAAGAAACGTTATCGTGATGCAGTATGATTCCCCGAAGCCCGGTCTTTGGTCTTCTCTCCCGCACAGCTTGAAAGGCTTTGGGTAATGCAACTATAGTATACCATTTAGAGTTGACTGACCTACAATTTTCCAGCATTGACGTCGACAAATGTCCGCTCCGCGAAAAAAAACTAGCCACCGTTCTGTTGCCGACGTTACGAGGTCTTTGCAGTTTCTACGGTAACTGTCCTTCTTAATAAACCCATACCGATGATTGCCTTTTATTTTCCGTATCATATTGATAGGTCCATGTCTCGTCAACAGTAACGATTTCTGAAACACGACTAGATGCCTAGTTTTCAAAACGTAGACGCATTTCATGGCACCAATCCACACGAGTCTGTTTTTCGCTTTCGGAGAGCAAACGAGGGATCCATCGACAACAAAGCTTCCTCACTCCAAGATGTTGATATAGGATGGTATGAATGCTTCCCGAACTAATGCCTACAATCTTTTCGATATCCGTTATCTGTGATTCGTTGGTCTTCTCCCACCAATATTTCAGTAGTCCATACATTTTCAGCCGTTACTGGTGTTTGCGTGGCCCCGGTTCTTTGGTCATCTTTAAGGCTAATTTTACACCTTTTGAATTCAGCAAACCACCTAAAAATTGTTGCGCGTGATGGAGCTGAGTCCCCTAATGCTGATTGTTAGGTGGATTCTCCGGAACTACTAAAATAATATTTTTAATAGTTCCGGAGAAAACAGTTCACGAATAAACAGACTGCGGTGATTTACATGTTACATCACATGCTATTGATTCTTAATTGTATTATTTATCATGACAGTTAGACGGTTAGATTTTGATAAAATCTTTAGCCAGTTTACTATAGTAAATTGGTATCTTTTTTACGAGTTAAGTTACGTTAAAATATCTAGTTGCTCCAAAAACGATTGTCTCCTTTAAAAAGCCTAACAAAAACTAGACAGGCCGAACACCGTCTAATTTGGCCGGATACGCAACCAAAAAGTCTGACTGTGTCCGGCTTTATCCGGACGCCCGGCAACGCTAGCCACGGCCTTCGACGCCCACTACGAGAATATCGAAACTAGACGGAGCGCGCGAAAGAAATTAATACAGGTCCAACCTCGACGAGCGCTCGCGCTCTATTCAACGCAGAGGGCCGGCGCAGTGTAATTAATATATGGTAATTTTATTTAGTTAATTCAAAAATAATAGTATCGATACAAATAGTAAAAATCATGGTAGAGTTTAAGCAAATGTTGATGATTATTTTGGTAGAAATTTTACGTCAAAATGATGGAGAATTTTGGAGATATTGGGGCTTATATCGAAGCTTTTTCGGTAGATAATTGAATTATGTCGATTTTTTTCCTTACGTGAAAGGCATATAACGAAAATGTATTTAATAATTATTAAAGTATGGGATATTTGTGACTTAAAAATATTTTTTTCGATGGTCGATATTAAATAGAATCTACAAATTAGAGCTCCTAAATCATGTCTCTCAGAGTTTTGGCCTATGTTTAGACCAAAACATATTGAGAGGCATATTGAGAATTATTATTATTAAATAAATAAATAAGTTATCTAAAATTTGCCTTGAGCTTATTGTAGTAGAGAAAATGAACTGTTTTTACCAAGTAATTGTTATTTCAAGCAAGGAACGGAAAATATATAATTTCAACGAGGAAACCTTGTAATTTCGCCTTTTTTTGTAATACTCCTCTTAATAGATTTTTTTAGTATTGTGCAACTGGCTTATGGAATTCTATTTTTAAATAAATTTGCTTTTTAGTAACATATAATACGGGTGCGTTCCAATTTTAAATTTCGAGCATCTCAAAACTCATTAAGTGACCTACGTAGTTGCAGCGTAACTCTACCACGTTATATACGGTATTATTCCAAATTTAATTAAATAGTAAAATAATTATTAACCTTTTTAAATCTGGTAGTAATTTAAACGTACTAATTTTAGAATTAGACCTATACTG